TAGAATAGAATAGAATAGAATAGAATAGAATAGAATAGAATAGAATACTTTATTGGCCAAGTGTGATTGGACACACAAGGAACTTGTCTTGGTGTAAATACTCTCAGTATACATAAAGAAAAGGTACATTCATTAAGAATCAAGAATCATAACGTATAACACTTAATGATAGTCATAGGGTACAATCAACAATCTAATCATACTAGGAAACAGTCAAGTGGGAGGGGATGGGTGATAAGGAGTGGTGAGACATTTGCTATGTGAGGTTTGCCCTACTTTATGACCTTTCCTGGCACAGTTGTTAAGTGAATCACTGCGGTTGATAGGTTAGTAACCCTGTTGTTAAGTGAATCTGGCTTCCTCATTGACTTTTCTTGTCAGAAGGTCACAAAAGGAAATCACATGATCTTGCAACACAGCAATGGTCATAAGTATGAACCAGTTGCCAAGTGTCTGAATTTTGATCACATGATCTTGGGGATGCTATAAAGGTTGTAACTCTGAAAAATAGTCATAAATCGCATTTTTCAATACCATTGTAATTTTGAACGGTCATTAAGTGAACTTTTTAAAATCAAGGACGACCTGTGTATGTTCTTACACCACTTACTTTTTTTCATGTTACACAACTTCCAGTGAATGCTATAGCTAAATGAATGTTTGAATTTAGATCCAATGATCAGTCAAGACATTTTGTAATATCGCAAGTTGTTCCTTCTAGTGATGAATATTTTTGTTGTTTCATACTTTTATTTCTACTTGAGGCTCAGATCATTTAAAAGATCCAATTCAAATAGGGAGGATGAGTGCCTGAAACCAGCAAGAAAGCTTGCATAGTGTTTGTCCAATGCAGCCTGATCCTTTTGTTACTGATTATGGGTCACATCTGTTTGTTATGGCATCCACCTTAGCTTCCAGTTGTCTGGCTTTGTGAAGCTTATGCTGGCATGAGAAAGCTCTAGCATTCGTCGTAACCTGATTGTTTTTCCTGAATAATTGAATATCCGTTTCTGTTCACAAAACATTAATATTGAATTTCTCAGAATCTTTGAAAACCTCTTTGAATCCAGACAACATGAATTTCCTAGCTTACATATATAACAAAGAAATGTTGAATCATATTTAATTAAAAATCATTATAAGGATTTGCCACAATTAAAGATGTATTCCTGCAGGATCACATCTCAAGATCACACCTGACTACAAAAGAAGGTCTGGTTGTTGAGATCATGCCAAGAAAAGCAGCTGATTGTTCCACATTTTGGCAGGGACAGACATTTAGAAGTCTTGCTTTTATATAGTGCTGCCAGCCCATTCCTCATTGGGTCATGGTTTTTCTCCATTTCTTTTCCTAGTTATTCTTTTCTCACCACATTTAGCTTAAATTAAAATTGTTTTCCTGTATTTATTTATACTTCTCAGTTCTTGAATTCTGGCAATTATATTGGTAAGTTCATGTAGTTTTCTTGGCACTCTTTGTCAGAAGTAGCTGCCACTGTCGTCTTCTTAGTAACTGAGACAGTTATTGGCCCAAAATTATCCAGATGGCTTTATGCCTCAGGTAGGACTAAAGCTGATAATCTCCTGGTCCCTAACCTGGTTCCTTTAATCATTACACAAAACTATCTTTCATATTATGGATAGATTTTTATCATCAGTGCTGGTAATTCTCAAATGGTGGGGGACAGTAACCTGTAGTTTAAAGAAAAATATCCTGGAACCACTAATTAAATGATAAAGCTACTGAATAGAAAATTCTATAGTCTAAGGCATACCCTTTTCTTTTCTTTTCTTTTCTTTTCTTTTCTTTTCTTTTCTTTTCT